ACCAGGGGTGATGTTGGCCACCAGAGAAAATTTAACAATGTCTGGAGACATTTCTGGTTGTTATAACTTGGGGAAGGAGGTGCTATTAGCATCTATTGGGTTGATACCAGGGACACTGCTAAATATCCTACAATGCACAGGACAGCTCCACAACAAAGAATCATCTGGCCCAAATTGTCAAAAGTGCTGAGGTTGAGAAACTTAAGTCTATTGGAAGTATCAAAGACACATGCGGGTACTTCAAAAAGTTCATATAAGGCTGGCCAGTGGCTCACTTGGGAGCGCATGGTGTTGATAACACTAAGGTCAAGGGATCAGATCCCCACACTGGCCAGCCATCAAAAAAAAAACACCATAAAGTAAGTTCGTGGAAAGATTTGCATTATCTTTTAATTCTATTTGCCCCATGAACTTTTTGAAGTATAAAGACACCAACAGCACAGCAGGTCAGCATGGGGGCTATGGAGTCCGGAGGAGGCACATAGACAAGCTGGGGGCTAGAGTGTCAGAGAAGAGACCTCTCCAGGGGGTTTGGAAAGATGACCCATGGTGGGTGTGTTGGAGGGGAGCATGGCACATGGGACCAAGGACCAACTGCAGATTTGTAGTGCTATGAAGCCTAGGGAGAGGGGAGAGGAGGGCAAGAGCCAGCCACGAGGGCCTTGGTGGCCGTGTTGAGAAGAATTCACCTAGAGAGCAGCGGGAACACATTGTAGGTGCTAACCAGGGGAGAGGGTGGGCAGATGCTTTAGAAAGCTCCCACCTCGTGGGGATACAGGAACTCCCAGGCACTGCTGGTGAGACAGCAGATTGACGCAGCTGTTCTGGACAGGAGCCCGTCACTATGCAGTCATATTTCACTCTGGCATGCAACTCCACCTGTGGGCACACACCTCGAGGGAATCTTCCCACAGGTCCATGAAGAGAGATGTGTGAGGAAGTCTACTGCAGCGTTCTCTGTGGTGCTCAAGAAAGGAGGCAGCCTGGGTATCCATCCTTGGGGAGTGAACATGGGCCATGGAGTCCCACGTGGCAGTTAGAGGCAGCGAGGGTACTAGGTCTTGGATGGGACCTAAGATCTAGTGCTGAGTGAAAAAGGTATATTAAAAGTATGTGCACAAAAGAACTCACATTTTGCAAGAACACTTACAAATCAAAAAGATACATTAAAACACTACAGTGATTGATGATGGTGGGTAAGGAGGAGGCCTGTCGGGTATAAAAGGGAATAAGTGACAAAGGAAGCAGAAGAAAGCTCACTCTGCAGTGGAACAAAAGGCTGGTGGCAGGGTAGACAAGAGCACAGACAGGGAGACCCGGCCAGAAACTGCCGAGAGGAACAGTCGGCCTGGACTGTGCGGTGTGGAGGGGAGAGGGCGGCTGGACCTGTGGGAGATTGAGGAGGGGGAGTTTCAGAACCTGGTAGTTGACAGGGTGGAGGAGGGAGAGGGAGGCGTCAAGGATGGCACCTGGGTTTCTGGATGGCTGGCTGAGCCAGTGGTGAACTCAGAGCTAGGAGCAGGTTTGGCAGGGGTGGGGTGTGGGGGATGAGTTCAGTCCAGATGTGGAGAGCTTGAGGGACCTGTGCAACATGCTAGTGGAGACATCCACAAGGTGGCTGGCTGTTGCAATAGACTGAATGTGTCCTCCCAGAATTTATATGTTGAAATCCTAACCCTCAATGTGATGGTATTAGGAGTGGGGTGGGGGGGTGTTTAGGGATTATTGAATGGGATTAGTGCCCTTATAAAAGAGACACTAGAGAGTTTCCTCAGTCCTTGTGCCATGTGAGGACTCGGTGAAAACACGGTGTCTATGAACCAGGAAGTGGCCCTCACAAGACACTGGATCTGTCAGTGCCTTGATCTTGGACTTCCCAGCCTCCACGCTGTGAGAAATAACTGTCTGTTGTTTATAACCCACAAAATGTATGGTATTCTGTTATAGCAGCCTGAATAGACTTAAGACAGCTGCACGAGGGTGGGTCTCAGCAGAGGAGTCTGAGATGGAAACAGATTTGGGGTTCATCTGTGTACTGGGTGTAGGTGAGATTCCCCTGAGAGAGTGTGTAGAGTGAGAAGAGACATAAGTCTGAGGAGCACCTAATTTAAGCTCCTGCTGGGGATGAGGAACCCATGAAGTTGACCAAAAAGTCATCCTCTGATAAATGGTAGGCCAAGGCCATTGGGATTCTGGGCCTGAGAGAGAGTAGGAAAGAGGAGTGGTCCATTTGCACAACCCTTTCCATTGCCCAGAATGCTCATAGACATTGCCTCCTTCGAGTTTTGCAGTAGCCCTTTGGATTACAGAGAAGAGGGACCAACTGTATAGCCCACATTCTGCAGACAAGGACACAGCTTCAAGAGGGATGGGCCTTGCCCAATGTCACGCTAGGTCTCCCATTTTCCCAGAGGTCTCCCAACTTCCATGCCTGAGTCCTTTGCATTCAGAGACACTGCTGCTTTCATTGCCCAGAACCCAGGGCAAGGGTGGTTTTGACAAATGACAGCTGCCATACTTAGGTCTGGGTGGACTCAGAGCACAGCAGAGGCTGATTGGCTTACTTACGGGCCAAGGCCCCTATATAGTCATGAGTTGGAAGGTTCAAGGAGCATGGGCAAGTCACCTCCCCTCTCTGAGCTTCCCCTGTTGTTACTTGTAAAGTGGGCTCTTACTTCATGGGGTTCTTATAGGAATAAATGAAAAAATGGAAGCAAAAGGAGTTTGTAGGCTCTGCACTCAAGAAGAGGAAAATGATGAAGAGAATATGGAAGGGAACCAGAGTTAGGGAGCAGGGCTGGAGGAGGAAGTGTGGAAATGGAGGTTGGATTTTCCCCTGTTGTTACTTGTAAAGTGGGCTCTTACTTCATGGGGTTCTTATAGGAATAAATGAAAAAAATGGAAGCAAAAGGAGTTTGTAGGCTCTGCACTCAAGAAGAGGAAAATGATGAAGAGAATACGGAAGGGAACCAGAGTTAGGGAGCAGGGCTGGAGGAGGAAGTGTGGAAATGGAGGTTGGATTTATAGGAAAAGGAGCACTGGGAGCAGGTGTTCTGCTGGGTGTGGGAGAGAGAAAGGAAAAAACACAGTCCTGGCCCTGGAAGGCTCAGAGTCCCCCATGTATCATCCTTAGCCCTGCTGTCTCCCTCATCCCCATATCACATAATGGCCAAGCCTGCCAGCTCCACCGCTAGGCTTCAGATCTCTTCTCCCCCTTGGTCTCTCCCCAGCATCTTCCTTGTCAATCTCTTCACCTAGCCTCCTCCAATCCATCACCAAGCAGCCCAGGCCTTCCTAAGACAAACGTGTTCATGGCTCTCCCTCCCTGTAGGTATTTGCGGTGGCTCACTGTCCTCTGTGGGCTCACTGTCCCAGTGGGGCAGTCAGGCGCTTTGGCCCCTACCCCGCTTCCTGGCCTCACCTCTTAACTCTTGCAGTACCCAGCATGCCAGGCTGTTGCACACCTCCATGCCTCTCCGCACATGGGCTCCTACCACCCACAATCCCTAACTTACTTCCAGTCCCCTATCCATCTGCAGAGACCTTCCTCATTTCTGCTCTCAGCTTCGCTTAACCTCTATTAAATCTTCCTGAATCTCACCCTTCTGTGCCTCCACTGGCACAGATTAGTGACCCAATGCCAGTCTGAATTTGTCTGCTACCTGTCTGCTTTTTGTTCTAGACCAGGCTAGGAGCTCTGCAAGGCTGTAGCCCCCCGTGCAGGGTCCTGAAGCCATTTGCTAGATAACGGAGGGCTTCAGGAAGCCAAGTAGCTGGGAGTAACCAGGCCTGTCTCACCTGGACTGGAGACCCTATTTCTATCTCAGCTGTGGCGTGAGGGAGTGGTTAAGCTCCTAAACAGACGTGTCTGATTTGTAACTCCTCTCCTTAGAACTCTCCAGAAGATCCCATCCCACTCTGAGGAAAAGCCAAGTCCTCACAATCACAGCCCCTTCATCCCTCCCATCTCATCATCTACTGGCCCCCTTCCTCAGGGCTCCGGCCTGTCTGTTCCCTCCCTGGGGGATGCTCTTCCCCAGACACCTCCTGCTCACTCCCAGGTCGCCTCCGTCTTTGATTGAGAGATCAAAGTTTAAAACTCCCTATTTAAAACTTTCCTCCAATAGCTCTTGCTACCACCTGACATACTCTTACATGTCATGGCTCATGTCTGTCTCTCCTCGCTTTAACTTCTAGAGGTCATGGACTGCATCTGCTTTGTCCACCACTGTATATCCAGCCATTAGAACAGGTCGGAAACACAGAGGGAGCTTAGTCAATATGCTGACTGACTGAACACATGAGCGAATGAAGTGATGATAGAGGGAGCCTTCTGGAACTTGGGCTTATCCACCACCCCCAAACCACTCGGGGCGGGCGGGGCTGAGGCGCGGCTGAAGGGAGGGAAGGGCGGGGAGGTGCT